ATGGTATCCCCAGCAAGCAACATGACCCTTCCAACCGACGTGGCAGAGCGCTCTCAACCAGCCACAGAGGAGGCGCTTACAGGAGCAGGGGGCATGGTAGCCGAAGTGGCAGGGGATCTCCTTCGTTACGTCGCCGACAATGGCACCACAGCTGGTTCCTTCCCTGCCACAGCTTCCACGAACAGATCTTTAGGAGATAAGTTTGACTCCAGGTTACAGTGGTATGAAGACTATATTGTGGGGACGCTGCTGGTGACTGTCGGTGAGTCAGCTGTTTTTTTTTCTCTCTTTATCGAATGAGATTGTTATCCATGAATGTAATTTTTGTTACTGAATCAAAGCATTATTAGATTCAGTCATTTATTTTATCATAGATTCAAGTATATCATCAGATAGTATCATTCTTTATTTCTGAATCAAATTATAATCAAATCAGATAATTTTTATTATCATTATCATTACTATTATCATTATTACTCTTGTTATTATCATCGTTATTATTATTATCATCGTTGTTATCATTATTACTATTGATATTATTATTATTATTATTATTGTTATTATTATTATTATCGTTATTATCATTATCTTTATTCTTAATCTTATTCTTATTATTTATATTCATAATCTTATTATTACTATTACTATTTTGACTATTGTCATCATTATTAATAATAGTATTATCATTAGTATCAGTTCTAGTATTATGATTATCTTTACCATCATCATTATTATTATAATTATTATCATTGTTATCATCATCATCATCATCATCATCATTATTACTGCTGTTATTATCATAACCATCATCATCATCGTATAATAATGATAATAATAATAATAATAATAATAATAATTATTATTATTATCATTATCATCATTATCATCACTGTTATTATTATCATGATCATCATTATTGCTTTTATTAATAGTATGCTATTATTATTATCATATTATCAGTATCATTATTATTATTGTCATTACCATTTTCATTATCATTATCATCATCATCATGTTCATCACCATCATCATCCTTATCATCATGATGTTCATCCTCCTCCTCCTCCTCATCACCATCATGTTCATCATCACCATCATGTTTCATCATCATCATCATCACCATCATGTTCATCCTCCTCCTCCTCATCATCACCATCATGTTCATCATCACCATCATGTTTCATCATCATCATCATCACCATCATGTTCATCATCACCATCATGTTTCATCATCATCATCATGTTTCATCATCATCATTATCATATTCATCATCACCATCATGTTTCATCATCATCATTATCATATTCATCATCACCATCATGTTTCATCATCATCATCATGTTTCATCATCATCATCATCATATTCATCATCACCATCATGTTCATCATCATCATCATCACCATCATATTCATCATCATCATCATATTCATCATCACCATCATGTTTCATCATCATCATCATCACCATCATATTCATCATCATCATCATATTCATCATCACCATCATGTTCATCATCACCATCATGTTTCATCATCATCATCATCACCATCATATTCATCATCATCATCATATTCATCATCACCATCATGTTCATCATTATCTTCATCTCGGTTGGAATTATTAACATCAGTATCAATAAATTTATATGATACTATATTCAACGTTGTAAGTTATACTCAGTAAAATTGAGTAAAATTCTATTTCAACTTAGAAACTCAAAATACTGATAATCATGACTGCAACTGTTTCATTAAATGTAATTCTTCACACGTTGTGTCTTCACGTGTATGTTATAATTAAAACTTTTTTTTGTGTGTATGTTTAAACTATTATTATTATTATTATTATTATTATTATTATTTTTATTATTATTATTATTATTATCATTATTATCATTATTATTATTATTATTATTATTATTATTATTATCATTATTATTATTACTATTATTTAAGGGTTCTGTTATTTCATATCTAATTTTTTTTTTCTTGTTCTTTGCTTCCCCCCCCTCCCCACTTACCCACCCGACTCCACCCTCCTCCCTCCCTCCTGTTCTCCCTTCCCCCTCTCCCTTCCCTCTATCCCCCTCCCTCATGTTCTCCCTTCCCCCTCACCCCTTCCCTCCCTCCCCCCTTCCCTCCTGTTCTCCCCTTCCCTCCCCTCACGCCTTCCCTCCTTCCCTCCCCCCTCCCCAGGCGTGCTCTCCGTCCTGGGCAACGGGTCGAGCGTCGTCATGTTCTGGCGGAGGCTGCGTTATCTCACTCCGGCTGAGATGCTGCTTCTCAACATGGCCGTCATACACTTGTTCTTGGCCGTCGCGTCATACCCTGCGGCTATGGTGTCTTCCTTCTCCCACCGCTGGCTCTTCGGCGATCTGGGTGGGTGAAGGGATAATGATTTGTTTGTTTGTTTGTTGAGTGAAGGGTGGGTGAAGGGATAATGATTTGTTTGTTTGTTTGTTGAGTGAAGGGATAATGTTTTGTTTTGTTTGTTTGTTG